TCCAAGTCTCGCGGTATACATGGCTAAGTGGTTTCGTTGATTTGAGGCAAACATCGCAGGGGAACGACCCGAAAAAGTATATCAAGTATATGTAGTCAGGCATGGTTCCATTCTTTGTCGATCCTGGAGCTTTCATACAAGTTCGATCCTGCATCTTGTTGCCTTTCACAGTGCAAAAGGTGTCCAACCTTTATAGCTGCCTTCAGACGAAAGAGGCAGGCCGAGGCTTGGTGACGTGAGGCCAAGGCAGGGCGCGGAGGTCCAGTAAGCGTTCCCAGAGACGGAGTGTTCACGAAACGAAGGGGCGGGGGGGGCACGAAGCGAGGATGGAATACCCCCCTCTCTTGCTAAAGCAAGAACAACTCCTAGCTGGTGCGTGCGTGCGCTTTCGTGATCGAGAAGGAGAAAACATGAACTCCGCACGGAGCCGTGGAGCGATTAACTAAACCCTTCATGGAAAAAAAGGGGGTGTCGATCCACCAAAGGACTTGGCCTTTCAAGCGGTCGAGAACCTGGGTAAAGTCAATCCAAATTGCAACAGTTGGACATACATGTCAGCCCTCAGAACGACAGGAAGCACTCTCTCATGGCTTAAGGAGGTGCATCTCAAACATCAGTTGGTATTTGGCTGTTGTCAAAACCTATTTACAAGGAGTCAACACGGGTAAATAGGCAAATGACCAGCAAAAAGTTAACAAGCAAGCCTGGAAGAAAATCTCTTTGCAACCTATAGTTACTGTACTATTAACATGTATTGACTATACTTGGCGCTTTGTGGTAAGAACCTTCTATATATATATTATATATATAACTGAAAAATGTTCCCTTGATTTGGATCAATTGTTCATATTATTCCCCTCCTCCACAGCTCAACCATCATCACCCCCAAGCCCAGCTCAGCAGCGCTCCAAGTCCAAGCGGCTGATCTGGACTAAGGCATGGCCCTCGGGCATCGGTTCGAAGAAGGTCCAGAAGCTCAGCAGTAACGCCCAAAGGACGTACCTCACGAGGCGAGGCTCACGTGATGAGGCGTGGCTCACGTGAAAGAGGTGCCAGCCTAGATGTCTGGACGGACACCCGCAGCCAGGTGTAGGGATGGTTGGCTTGTCCTTCAACTGGAAACTCATTTTCCAAACAAGAGACAAACCTGTAAACAATGCAAAAACCTATGAATATTAGAAGACTTCGTACATTACTTCGCATTGTACTGTGGGGGCAATCTTTCCCCCCACATCCCCCCACCAGGCTCACTGCTGTGGCACACTTCCAGCTGCAGGGACCTTCGATCCATCTCGATCCGAAGAGAAATCGCGCGCGCGCCGCGGCGTGCGGCGGCGCACAGGCCGTTGATGGCCACGATGGCGATGCGCAAGAACCAGCTTTCCAGGCTCTCATTGGTGGGCAGCAGCCAGATGCACAAGAGCACCTGCGAACTCGAGACTCGGGGCCTCGTCGACCTGCCAAGACACCCACAAAAGTCTCGTCGTGCCAAGACAACCCAGTCACTATATGAGACGTTTTTGGATCCAAAGAAGTTGAAGGCGAGTGGGTTGCATGGTATCCAGAGAGACCAAAAAGGGATCCAAAGACGAGGCGAAGAAGGGCCCAAAACGAGGCGAAGAGGACCCTCTTTTCAGCGTAGCCCCTCCGATCGAGGTCTCAACCGGGACGACCGCCGCAGACGCGCGGACGCGGTCGATGACCGCAGACCTTGGGAAGATCGTTGTAGAGCGCTGAGATCAAGGTGGCAAGACCTGGGATCGTTGGGGAGGACGGAAACCACCGTTTCTTTTTTTGAGCAAAAGAAGGCAAATGAGGTTGAACTGTTAAACAGTCAACGCGTTACCAAAACAGAACATTGCGCTCCACGTGCTGTTGGATCTTAGTCAGGGTGTGGCAAACAACATCAAACAGTGCCCTTGAGCAGTTCAAACACAAAATTATGGAATAGCGCAGGCTGGTTTGTTGATGGCCCGGTTTGGGATGATGTTTGTTGTCCGGCTCAGGCCACGAAGGTAGGACTCAGAGGCTGGGAGAAGGTGAAGTAGCTCTGTGCAAACCAATCACACCAATAAGGCTTATCATGGCTTCTCTACAGTAAGTGAAGCAAAACATGCAAAAGATCTCTGAAGGTCAAGGAATGATCCAGAAAAGCTGTGACTTGACTGCTAGCCTTGATTGAAGTGAATCAAGCAAACATCGAGCAGGTTGGATGTTGCGTTCCGAGAGTCAAGACGAATATTAGCTATACTACACTCCCTGGAATCATCATGGAAGTGGCAAACAACCTGTTTGAATGTGTAGAGGAAAAGGGTCATCCAAGGATCCAAGTCGCCAATTTCCACTTCCATGAAGAATCCAATGAGTGTAGCCGTGTAGCCAGTAGCCATATCGTCCGAATGTTTCCTATTAAAAGGCGCGCTATGGCACACTCACACAGTCAGTGCAAACCAGAACTCTTCGGCATAACTACCCTATGGATCCACGTACCTTCTGAGAAGGTGATTGGAGACTACTATGTACAATGTAGGTTTTTTCTGGGCCCAGTCGTACCTTCTGAGGAGGTGGCAGTGGATCATAGTGGATTCTTAGGGATACTATATTGCTTCGAATTGATGATTACGTCTTCTGAGGTCCAACCAAGGCTTTGAGGACACCTTCCACCACCAGGTCCTCCACAGGAGTCCGGTTGGTAGCTCGCGCGCCCCATCGCGCCCGGGTGAGCTCGGTAGCTCGTGCGCCCCATCACGCTCGGGTGCCCCGGCAAATCACTCTCTTGTACTGCCAAACCTCCTTGTGCGAGGCGGTTTAAGAGGATCGCCGGGCGGATGGGCCAAGGTCAGAACCGTGGGTTGATGATTGGATGGAGCAACACCTTGAACATCACCATATGCAGGTGGAAAAGAGACACAACAATAAAAACATCTAACTACTTGCATTTATTGCGGGAGGAGGTGCTTCCAGGTGGCACATGTCTGGGGCGCTGAGGTAGGTGGATCCCTAGTCGATAAAGAAGTCATCCGAGTCTTCAGGCAGTTCTTCTTTCAAAAGGTGCGACCGACCCGTTTTCAGAGATCCATCGTGGACCGGTGTGGCGTGGAAACACACGTTGCACGATCCATCACCCTCCCGGACCTGGCACCATTCTTCTCGACATCAAACCACGCTGTCCGCTGGTCCGCGGGTCCTTCTTCTCCAACCGACCAGGTGACATGCCACAGAGGAGGCAGCTGTGCCGCAGTTGTCCGGGCTTCAAGACCGATCGCGTGGGCTCCCCTGGCCGAATCCGACCGCGAAGGCAGGCGGCTTCGCGGCAAAGCGGAGCTCCGGTCTTTGGACGCCGAGAGGCGAAGTCGGAGCAGACCTGAGGAATGGGATCAACCTGGAGCTATAGCTACTAGAGCGAGGCAAAGATGACATGTCCTGAGACTCAAGGAGAGATCTATGATTAATTGTTATTGATTGGTGGTGATTATGAGCGATTGTGAGATCTGTAATTGTAGATATCTACAACCAAATAAGGTCTTTTGTTGCCCCTTTTTCGCTGGAGAGCAAACATACAACGATGCGCAATACTACACATTCAAACACCAGTGGCGCTCAAACCCATGACAAACCTCAAATAGAGGTTTTCAGACCATGAAAAATAAGGCTTTCAAAAGCAACACCATGTTTTTTGCTTTAGGGAAAAACACACACATGTCTTTGATGGTTTGTGGGGGAGGGTTTGAGATGATGTTGTTGAACGTATTCCAGGTAGCTTGGTAGCTCCAGCTTCCTGCAGCCATCTGCAGCTTCTAAGTATACGTGGTTGTCTGCCCCTGTCTGTGGTGGTGAAGTGGTGGATTTCTTTAGTAGGGTGCCTTCCCCTAGTTCGACCATCTGCGGTTCGTTTCAATGAGACCTATCAACCTACAGCAGAAACAATCCTTTGAAACAAGAAACATTGATGTCATACGCTCTTTTTCTCACAAAGATGGGAATTGAACAGTGCTCTGACTCACACCAAAAAGTTGACATGCACGAGGTTCCCGCTTCAGTGAGTTCCCACACGTCCACCATCCTCGAAAAAACAAACAGATAAGACAAAAGATATGAAAGAAACAACACCGTCCACATATTTAAGATATGAAAGAAGACTCGCATGTCTTTTTCTCCCCCCCGCAAAAAAAAGGCAGAATCCGGAACGCCCCGGTCTTTCTTTCTCCCATCCTCGCCGACGGAGCGGCCGCCATGTGAGGGTGCCTTGACTGGGTGGATCGGGTACCACTCCATAGACCTGCGGGCAGCGCTGGCGGTGTCCGAGCAGTTGTTCAGGGAACGGGGGAGGGAGAGGGCATGAGGTGTGGAAAAGAAAGACAGTGTTTAGTTGAGCTCATGTATCTATACAGTGGAACATTCTTTCAGTTGTGTAAAGGCACTCTGTTGTTCAATCGAGTCGCTTTGCACCTTGAATTCAGTGGTTGGACATGCATGGCTGGATAAAACGTGGACAAGAAAGGCCTCCTTGAATGTAAGGGGCATCTCCGCGGCATCTCCTAAACTATTGGTCCAATCATATATATATATGTTCAATTTATGGTATTTGTCCAAACAGTAGTCTTTCTTCAGAAATCATCATCATGTCATCATGTTCTTCCTCCTTCTCTTCCTCAAATATCTTATGCTTCATAAGAATCCCACAGCCGCACCCCGGCACCCCGGCACCCCTCGCACTCTCCCACCGACTACCCTGGCCTTTCGGAGACCTGGCCACGACGGTTTTCCCCCGGTTTTCCCGAGGTCGGCCCAAGCACCCGAGGTTGATGACAGGCATTCGGATTCCATCCCACTAGGCATTCGGTTTTGCCCTATGACTCATGACTCCACCTAATCTCATTGCTCCGTCCCACAGGCAGAGCCCGGAAATTGTGGCCACTTCCTGCAGGTTCCAAAGTTCAAAGGGGTTGCTTTTTTGGTTTCTAAGGCACCTCATCTATCATCATCTATCCAATAGGCACCCCTTCGAAACTGCTGGTTGTACATGTTTTCTCATTCAACACTCAAACTAAAGACTCCTTCCTCCGCAAAAAGGGATCTCAACCCCTCAGTTTCCAGGTGTGACATGCCAAAAAATCCCAACGCCTGGTCGCTGGTCCTTCTTTGAGCCCCTAAACATCCGGTTCCTGTCAAAACCTGCTGACTGGCTGCTGATCAGGATGAAAACAGAGCCACCAAACAGGGGAACTGCCTTTGAAAAACACCCAAGCAAACCCATATGTTTTGATGTCCACCCTGTCCGTCCATGTCATGTTCGGTTCATCTCTTTTTGATCCACACTGCTAGTCTGGTCTATCAGCACAGGGCTCAGCTATGCTCAGCTTCTCAAGAGTCAGAGCTTGAGGAAGCACTGGAAGAAGAAGAGCTCGCCTTTTTCTTCTTTTTTTTACTCTTTTTATCTTTCTTCTTCTTGTCCTTGGACTTCTTCTCCTTCTTCTTATCCTTCTTCTTCTTGTCTTTCTTCTTCTCAGTCTTCAGCTTCTTCCTCACTTGCATGCCATGGCACACACGCAAGCGATGAGTTTTCGAAGAAGACTAAGCCGGTGAAACAGCCGCAAGACATCTACAATGTATAACCTGTATATTATGTTATGAATTAAAAATTACACACCCTTCCTACTTCATCTCCCAACCCTGGGTGCAGGTGGCTGTTCTCGACCCTTGGAGACCTGAACAAAAACTGCAAAAAACATTGCCAAGCGCAGGTCCGAGCTGCTCATCGAGCTTCCTCTTCTTCACCTCGACGTCTCCAGCCGCACCTTCTGATAACCTTGGAGCGGCACAAAATAACAACGGCAGGAAGAGCAAGAACTTAGATTAGATGCAAACCAGAACTCAAGCAATAGCAAAGGCCAACAGACATATTCAGATGTGTTCGAGCCCAATCAAAAAGAAGATGTTTCACATTGTTTCACAGCATCATCCAACACAACAAGCCAAAACATTCTCCAAAGTGTGGTATTCCCAATTCCCATTGCGACAAGCAGGATCAAATAGGCAGTATGAAATCCCCCTAAGCGAACACCTTCTTTGGGAATCCAACCCAGGAATCCAGGAATCCGCATCGAGAGGTCCTAACTCCAAGTGCCGCCCAAGTCTACTGAGTGGGGGGAGGGAATCCCTGACCCAACCGAGTAGACTGGGCTGAAGTCCACCCTGACTCGAAACTTCGGTGAAGAACACGGGCCGGAGGAGGTGTCTGAGCTTCTTTCCGCAGCAGCAGGGAGTCCAAACTGGAAAAGAACATTGCCTTTGCAACGTATAACTATAATGAATGATGATAATGATCAAACTACTTAAGAAGGGAATCCATCCCTCTTTAATCGAGGCATCGTTTTTTCGCATCAACAAGTTGGCTTCTTTTTCGATCCAGTTGGCTTCATCAAGTTGGCCGGCGGTGGCAAATGAGCCTCCAGTTGCGCTTGTCGCGGCGGTGCTGGTGCAGTGCCTTGCCGCTGCTGACGCTGCTCCTGACTCTGCTGCGCTGCCCAGTTGACACGGCTTTTGAGGTCTTGTCTTAGACACATCCAGACCTGTCGGTTGAAAAAGAATACACATGTTAAAAGGAAAACACATCGCTTTGGGGGCCCATGCGGCTGTTTTTCGTAGATCTGTAGGTCTTATTTTACCACTGCCACAAGGCTATGTGGCTATGATGTGACTGGTGAACCCAGAAGGGAATTGCAAAAGATGTGATCCCGGCCATCGGAAACTTTTGGTTCCCACGGCATACCGCCGGTTTCCACAGTTCCCACATCTGCCTTGGCCACAGTCAGGGCACTGAAAATCACCCAGGTCCACCCAGCGAGGGCCCTCAGAATGTCAGAATGTCCCATTCTTACTGAGGGCCCTCAGCAAACATCTTGACTGTTTCAGTCGTGATGTGAAAGTCATGGGATTTGGGATGTGATGTTATGGTATATCTGGAGTCTCAATACATACCTCCGAAATGGGTACAAGTACTTCAAGTACCTGTTAATGTCCGAAGAACCTCCTTCAGCCGCTGGATCCGCATGGCTGGTGTCTCCCGCGTGGTGATGGAAGACATGGCGACCGGCGAGAAAAACGGCCGGTACCCAGCGTTGGTGTGTGTGTGTGTGTCTGATGGATGTGTTCATGTTCACGGATTGGTGTGGAGGTGGGAAATGGCTGGGGAAAGTACGTACATGTGGAGCTGTCAAACACTGGAAGGACCAGTCTTGTCCGACGTCGGTCCAGTCTCGGAAGCTTTCGATGGTAAGGTTCAATGAAGCCGAATGAACCAGGTGGTTCTTCTTTGACAGCGTATTGACAAGCATCCAGCTTGAGTGCGTGTTCCAAGATGTGGGCCAACAAGTGGTCCATTCTTGTTTTAACCTGGGATCCTTACATGGTAGTTTGGAAATGCACTGCCATGATGTTGACCATCTTTGTTCGACTTGCGCCCACGACGCGACGCTCAACAGAAGCACAGTTCTGACATCGAGACATGTGAAACTGTGATGTGTGTTTCATGTGAGACCCGTTCGATGGAAGAGAACGGAATGCCAAAACAGAGTCGTGCCACCCCTTCTTCTCACCTGCGTGCCGAAAGAAATTTGGTCTCCAGAGTCTCGTTTGTCTTGCTTAGAAACCTTAGAAACCGTCTCGAGCTCCAAGCATTGAGGCCCGAAGCCCGTGTTCATGTTGGACTGTTGAACTCACAAATTGGGCCATGGAACCAGATATACTCTTTGTTCTGGAACCTTTTCACGCCTGTCTACTTGCTTCGTCCACATATCCCTTGCAACATCTTGCAACCTGCATGTCGCTCCAAACCCCACGAAACAAGTCCACACGTCCACCGCCCCAAGTCCACTGACTGACCCCCCGAAACCCAAGTCACGGACCCTGAACACCCAACGGTCCCCCCCAACGGAGCTCACCGGACCAGGTCCTGGACCAGTCCCGGTCAGCACCACACCACCGACGGAGACAACACCCGGGCCGCACCTGAAGGCTCAAAGAGCTTGCCGTCTCCGTCCCCTTGGAGTGCGGCGCGTTCGGGGCCGTTCGGGTCGAGCGTTGGATCGGTAGAGAGACAGACATTCAACAGACCCATCCATGCATGCGGCAAAAGTCGTGTGGCCCATCACCCGAGGTTATGAACTGGACATGATCCTTTTTTTCCATGACCATCCGTGCATGCAATATATGCTTTTTGTTACTTACATCACGGATCATGGAGGGGTCATTTGTCATGGTACATGGATGTACAGTAACTATTCCAGTCCCATGGATGGACTGGGATTGGGCAAAAACTAATATCGCATGACAAGTAAGTGGATGATGGTTGGTAAAGGCCGACTGTTACTAGTAGACCAAAATAATCTATAATATCTGGTGCAAATGTGGTAGTCGCGCTCGAAGTCGACCAGCAAACGAAAAACCAAGACGACGCGCGAGGCGCCGAACAGCGCAGCCCTTTTCCAAGGGCGAAGCCCACCCGCCTTGAGTGGGGCAAGTTGCGGTCGGTCGAAAACCTGAGTCACCTGTGCATGAACGGGGTTGAACAGCGTTCAACTGACACAGGAGGAAAGAGAGTTTGGCTCTGACCTCGGTGACTCAGCTACAGCAGATGCGTCTGCCTCTCGCAGCGCACCAGCTTCAAGCCATGTGCAAATGGCAGTCCTCAAGGACGTGCCGCCAGACAGGGTGACGTTGTCTGGTGGGAGGATTCTAGTGCTGCACAGGCTACAAGGATCAAAATGATCCACATTCCTCGGATCTCTGCCCTCCAGCGAGCTGCAGCTCTGGCTCACATGCAGCTTGCGGCCATGCCTCGAAATGAAGATGCCAACGTGCAAGGGGCATTCCATTCGATGGGCATCCATCTCTCTCAAACACCGGCGAAGGATGTTGCCAGCGCGGTAGGTCAGCTCACCAACATACTCCATGTTGGCAATGGCGAGCTTCAGAGCTTTTCCTTTCTCCATAGCAGCGCCTTCAGCTTCCAAGGTGCGAAGCTTCCATTCTTCAATTTCAGCACGGAGGCGACTGGAGACAGTGGTGTCCTCAGTCTGAGTGGTGGCATCAACACAAAGCACCTTCTGCTGAGGTGTCCAATTCCATCGGCTCCATCGGCCCAAAAGAAACAACGTGCCAGCCAGCAGGCTGAGGATGGTGATCACCGTCACGGTGAGAAGATCGATCTCTTCCGCAGCACCAGTGTCGCTGGCCATAGCTCCAGGCAGCAGCATCAGCACCATTGCCCAAAGCAGGACATTCCTTAAGCGACACTTGATGACATACTGCATGCGGCCGTCGACATGGCTGGGAGCAGCAGGGGTGTCATTCACAAGGGCTTCATGCTCTTCCGGAAGGATGTTATATTCATAGGCCTCCATGAAGTAGGAGACTGTGTCTTCGGTGATGGCCATGTGCGCATACTCTTCAACGGGGTCAACTTCAGTCAACTCTACATTCTGTTCAGGGTCGTGCTCCAGGCAAGTGGCTCGATGAGGTTCATCTGCTTCGGCGGCTGGACTGAGGGTGCTCTCCTGGATGCTGGCCTTCAACTCATCTTTAGTTTTCTTCTTTGCAGCTTTATAGGTGGGGTCCCAGATGAGTTTGAGCTTGCCGTAGCGAAGGCGTTGTGCCAACAGGTTGCGAGCAGCTTCCTTAGTGAGGCCGTCAGCCAACTGTCGTTCTGACGACATCCATCGGAGATTTCCTCCGAGAGCCAGCAAACGTTCCTTCATCACTCTGACTTCCAGTGACACGCGCTTGTCGACCACAGAGTTGCTGTAGCCTTCACGATGAAATGAGTCGTAGAGGGCCTTGGCATCAGTCACCATCGTGGGTGTCAGTGGTGACTTGCAGTCAAGGAGGTCTTGCAACTTCTGCCTTGGATCGAGCAAGCAGCTCCAAAACACGCAAACATGCTCCAAGGCGTCGCACGCTTGTCCACCAGCTTGGGCTTCAGCACCCAAAGAGGATCTTGCAACTCGAGGTGTTTTCTGACTTTTCCAGTCCACGATGTGGTAGGCTCCTTCTGGTCCATCCGGCTTGAGGAGATCGCCGTGGATGAGGACAATGATGTAGCCAAGTTGCGAACTGCTGTCATTTCTGGTGGCAAATGCGGCGTCGAAGAAACACAACAATCTCAACTCCTGTACTGGTCCAAGAGGTTCATAGACCAAGCCAACATCGGAGTTCTCCTTGGCAAACTTCAGGAGTCGGTTACAGTCCATCATGGTTTGTGTGGATGCCTTAGAGATGCAGCCACTCAGAAGGGATGTGCTTCCTTGTAGGTGTGGACTCGACTGCACGGCAGGCCACTGTAGTGAGCCAAGTAGAGCTCGAAGTTGTGATACATCCTTTTCGGAAGCAGCTTCAGCAGGATCACGACGTTTGTCGATGGTGATTGGCTTGACTTTCTTCATATATGTGTCCTGCTCAATCTTGTAGCCACCGGAGTTGGTGAGCTTGATGTCGCAGCCACAGTAGGACAGGTCAGTGCCGTCAGCTCCGGTCTTCCACTCTCTAAAGTTGAACGTGCTCTTGAGCTTGGTGATGACAGAGTGGTAGGTCGTGGAGTCGTTGGAGCCACAGCCCAACATATCATCAACATGCATGATGATGATGCCACATAGACCACATGGTCCTAGCAGGTGTGGATGCTCATGCTCGGGGTTGTACTCAGCATTGAGGTTCGCCTCGTAGGCCAAGAAACAACATGGATCTTGTGGATGCTGACGTAGGCCCATGCTCAATAGCTTATCAACTGCGGCCATGTACCAGGATCTTGGAGCATCAATCTGACCGTAGCAGGGCTTGAGAAGAAGCATCCTCGTGTCAGCTGAGGCACCGAGCAAATCAAGACATTCTGCAGGGAGTTGTACCCATAACTTTCTGCTTTGAGGCTTGCCCTGAAGAAATGCAGTGGCAATGTCGGATGTCCAAACTGGCCATCTCATGTTGGCGGCCAGGCTCAACAGCATGGATCGGGACAACCTCGTCGTTGTGGGTGACGAAGTGGGCACGGTGCCTTCCCAGGCATCTGGATCCATGAAGCCACGGACAATGAGCCGCGCCTTGGCGCGGGGAGTCCCGTCAGGGTTCCTCGACCATTTGAGCAGCATGCGACTTGTCAAAGTCCTTGATGGTTCAGCTTCTTTCGTGGTCTCGAAGGCCCAGACTTCGTTGTCGAAGAACGACTGCAATTCTTTCACCTTGGCAGCCTTGAACTGTGCCCTCTCCTCTGGAGTCATTGTGCGCTCGGTCAAGTTGTTCTTGTCCTTCTTGAAGGCTTTTGCATGACGCTGCTTGGTGATCTTGCCCATTTGGCGCGCTCCAACCAATGGCTCCTTGACATACATTGCATACTCCTTTCTCACATGACCCTTGATCTGAAACACGGTGACGCCTGTCCAGGAGGAATCGCAAGGTGGAGTAGTGCATGTGCCATCATCCGTTTGCTGTGTGCATCGGCCATTGGTGTCATAGATCACGGTCACTCGCACATTGTCCAGTTCCGAAGCTGGAAACGGTGCATCACGAGGTAGATGGGCAAGACTCATCTTCTGTCTCCTGGGCGTGAGGTGGTGGCGGATCATGCAGCCCGCACGAACTTCCCAGTAGTCCATCGGGTGCTTCTCGAGCTGGAAGTATCCATCTTCATGGGTCCAACCACGAGGAAGGCAGTTGGCCGTGAGTTCCTCGACCATGAAGGCCTGAGACAGAAGTGCGGCATCCTCTGCAGGACCAGTCGTTGTACCAGGTGCAGCTGAGCCTGTGGCAGGTGCTGGTGTTGGTGGTTCATAAGGATCAGCAGGTCGATGAGGGCGGTGTCGCCATGGACCAAAGCTCAAAGTTTCCTGCCGATTGAAGCGATTGCGTCTCTCTTGAAAGGACTCCGCATCAACAGGTTCGTACAGTGCTGCAGTGGCTGGATCAAGACTGGGTGTCTCTTGTGGTGCATGAGGAGTTGGAACCGTAGGTTCTGCGCCTGGTTCTGCCACACTCGGCGATGGTGGTTGTGATCTTGATCGTCTGGAGCCAGGAGATGCAGGCAGCGACAAGGGCACTGGTATGTGTGCAGCTGAAGTTGTCAGGGTCACTGGCTGTGGTGGATCC